GGTTAAAGCACAGCACTGGTAAGCTAAAGCCACCTCCTCAAGAGTTCAATCCCCGCCCCAAGAGGTGACCACATGGCGAGGCAGACCTCTCCTGACCCGCCCGCTGCTCCCCTCAGCAGTGTACTTCGTCGATCTGCCTGTTCTGCTCCCCACTCTGTCTCTGGTGAATCCTCTCACCCTCCGCATCTCTGGCCTGTACCCTAGTTCCATATGAATAAATAAATCTTAAAAAAAAAAAAAATTCAGGTGATCAATGAAACCCTGCTATAGAGAAACACTGGTTTGCAAGAACTATCAACATATAAAACAAATTCCTGGATTGTGGTTTAACAAATTAGCAAAATAAGCATCCATCATGATTGAAAAAAAAATTAATATATACTAGAATCTAATCTCCACAGTGCACAAGATAGGCTCCCTGAGAGTACAAATTGCTCAATAAATCCTGGCTGGGTGTGTGGGTGAGTGAGTGGCTGAATGGATGAGTGGATGGATGAAAAAGTGAATGATTGAACGAGGGAAAAAGCCAAACAAAGCATCCAAATTTTGTTTTCTCACAATTCACATTTTCTCTTCTTTATAGATTCCAATTCCTATTCCTTTTCCTATTCCTTATGATCCAAATCAGGTAATTATATTACACTTCCCTTAAGAAAGTATTTAACTGAACACAAAACAAAAATCTGAAAATTCTTTAGACTTAATTGGAGAGGAATTAATGGTTAATATTCTCTATGAGGAATAGTTATATTTTGTATACATGTACTAAACTAAGATCTAAAAATTTTCCTTCATAATGTGGAGGAAACTTTGCAGAGCAGGAGGGAAAAGTAATTAAATAACCTGGGAATGCAAGATCTGCTGTGCCATTTACCTTGGAGTAACCACTATCTCTTCTGACCCTTACTTTCTTCTAGAATATAAAATAATGAAAATGGATAACATATAAAGTCTATTTCACCCCTAAGATAGTATGCTTACATCTGCCAATAATGAGGGAAATGCATCCTGATTAAAATGTAACCTGTCCTAAAATTTCAAAACTAAATTTAAGTATATAATCATGGTTTAAAAGGGTTACATCACTTTTACTTTTGACAGAATTTTACTGAATGACTAATAATCACATGCTGTAAAACTGACCTAGTAACAGAGTTATGTATTATAATTCCAAAAATTTTAATACTCCTATTACTACTATAGGAAATATTAAAAGTTTCTTTAAAAAAAGTGATCCCAAAACATAAGTCTTTTATCCAAACTAGTAAGTATAAGTTTAAATGACCCAAGAAACATTTGGAGCCCACTTAAGAAAATGTGAATTGTTTCTGGAGATAGTAAGGTTGAAAAGGTTGGGGTGAAGGGGATGTGGGGGAATAGGTATTCATGAATCCTGGATCTTAACGACATAATTTTAGAAATAATAGAGATTCTAAAAAGCATGTTTTTATTAACCAAGCTAATTCAAAGTATGCAACATGAACAGACATAAGATGTTGAATTACAATTCCTTGTGTTTCTTTTTCTAGGTCTTGACAATTAATGACCTTATAGCGGTAAGTATAATAGTGACTGTTAATCTATAGTTTATATGCAACAGCCTATATAAGATGAACCAGCTCATATGAAAATTACTGGCTTATTAGTCAAATAAATTTAGAAACAAAGCAGTTAAATTCAAAGCCAAAAATAATCCTTAATGCATGTGAACAGTTTTGCCTTCATCTACTCAATTCATCCAAATTACAAATCAACAAAAAAACTTTTATCATTGATGAGGGTGAAAGTAACAAGTCAAAACACTTAAGGTTACAGGAAATTATTGCTGATGAAATAGGTTTGGCTATACCTTCTCTAATGAAGCATTAACATAAACACTTAACACAATAAAGATGATCATATCTAAAACCCAAGAGAATTTTACAAAATTGCACATAATTCAAAATTAATGAAGTCCTTTATGGATATGTTGATAAGAACCTCAATTTATGAAAACACTGAAATGTACTTGGAGCTATAAAGGATTAACACTAAAAAAACTTTTCATAAACTTTTTTGAAATCAAAGGTACATCTCACATATATTTAATCTAGAATCTCATATGTCTTTAAAATGTTTAACTTAAATGTACTATTTTGGTGGTAGTATCTTAGAATCGAGGATGTACAGAATTTCCTACAAATGTCAGTTACAAAATCTGTGTGCCTGAATAAACGTTTTCAGGTTCTTCGTAAGACCTATTTAAAATTGGGGATCACCACTAAACAAAACTAAGTACCTACATTTTTTATGTTCAAATAGCTGGTGTTAACAATCCACTCTATTCAAATGATATTTTAGTTCATTTCCAAATGGCAAGTCATAAAATTTTCAGCATACCTCCAACTAAAAATGTTTTAGGAAACTTCCTTCAATGATTAACTACTAATGATCACAAAATTAGTAACTTCATCTTTAAATCAACATATGGCCAAAAGTGTTGGCCTGTGTCTGGAAAGCCTAGATTCTAATGTCATCTTTACAATTAAAATAACCATGTGAAGTGGGGTAAAATGTATGAACTTTCCACTAAATTAATCTCTAAGTCACCTCTGAGTGACTCCATTGATTCATGTTCATTCAACTTACCAAATCTCAATATTTAATACCTATTTTTTAATACCTATTTGTACTTTTTTTTTTTTTTTGAGAAAAACTAGGGTGTGGGGAGTGAGAGGATTCACCAAAGACAGAGTGGGGAGCAAAACAGGAGGATTTACTGAAATATACAGCTAAAGGAAACAGCAGGTGAGACAAGAGAGGTCTGCTGTGCCATAAGTGGTTCAGCCACCTGGCTGGGCATCGATCTCAGGCCCAGCAGTGACAGCATTGAGACTTAGCCCATAGGCCATCAGGGAGACCTATAATGTATTTCTCAGAACTTTTCAAAGTGTTATTGCTCATATCCATCTTGGAAAGGATGACCAAATAATTTATAGAACTGTCACATCTACATGATGATGCTTTTTTTCTCTTAGTGATCATGGTAAAGGAGTAGGAAAAGAGCTCCTAAGAGAATAAACACGACTGCAGAACATTTTTCTTGTCTAAGAACTGCCCGTGGTACAGGGTTTCACTTACATATTCTTGAATATGCTCTAGAATGGACAACTCTACAAATAAACGGTTGGCCTTCTTGGTAAGAGTGGCCAGTTTCCTCAGCAAGCTGCAAGTCCTTTAAGTCAGAAGGACCAACAAACTGCTGTGTAAGCAAACCCTCCAAATAAAGTATTCATAGTTGCACTAAAATTTTGGTTCAAGTACCATTCACTGTGTAATGTGCATCATTTAAGAAAGACAATACTTCTTAAGAAGTATGCAGTGAGTTTCTGAACCATTCACATCAATTTTCTGTCTTTTGGACATATTGAAGTTAACAGGGAAGTATTTCTATGAATTAAGGGATTTAAATCTAGATATTATGTATTCATTTAGAACTCTTCTATCATGTAAATAGCAATAAAATGGAATTAAATTTTTAATAAAAACCAAGATTTTCATGTAGAGAATATTATAAGTTTATTACTAAGTTAAAAATAAGAAGTAAACACACTGATAGCACTAATCACTAACGTTTTTTCTTCTTTCCCAGTTATTCACTTCTATTTTGAACCAACTAAGGGTAAGTCCATATTTAGTTTTATGTTGTTATATACTACAAATCTACTTTATGCACTTAAGATCATCTCCTCTTTTTATTTTTTGGGCTTATTTGGGGTAAGACTATTTCTGTGATTATATTAATAAAAGCAAGTGACATTTAACCTCAGGGTAAGTATGAATGGCTCTTCTAAATTATAAAAACACATGGCACAATCAAACTCAACTAACCTACAAAACTTAAAACTCATGAGCCATAAACTCAATTTCTTTCACATTACTCACATTAGAATTTCTGCAGCTCTAAAAAGGTATTGTTTTCCTCATGTTCACGGCATTTAATATAACTTCCATTTATAGACATACATGTAATACAGGATTAAGAGATTACAAGCAGTAAATTTTACCTCATTTATTTGTCTTATGGACAATTCAGAGTAAACAGCGATGAAAGCACACTGTGAAACTAACAAACCTAGAAATGTCCTGATCTCAAAGCCATACATCTCCTTAACACATAAGCCTAGCTATAAAAGCTACAAAACTTGATTTTCTATTTTGATATTCACACAAATCTGATTTCACTTAAAATTATACCAAAAATAGAGACATAGAAGGTATACACCTTTTTTAAGTATCTGAATTAATGCCAATTAAAATTATATATATTTGGCATTTACTTGACTCCACCCTGAGAAGTTGATAAATCCCAAAATATTCTCAATCCCAATTTTGACATACTGAATTTTATAAATTTTGCTTCAGAGTAGTAATTTTATTGTCCTGAAATACTTATTTAGTGCATCTTTTACCATTTCAGATCTTTTACCATGTCAGATCAAATGGGAAAAATTTAAATCTATGTTGCAGAAAAAAGTTAAGAATTCAATATATCAGCATTAGGTATAAAAGAAATGTTATTTTCTACCTTCTAAACATTATTATACCAATATGAATCCATTAATAATGAAATAATGATAGAGAGATATAGGTGAAGTTGAAAAAGAAATTATGGTTAAAATATCTTCATATAATAACTATGATCTGTATGTTTATTTTGACAGAACTAATTCTCATGATCAGAAGCAATATACGGTTAGTAAAATCTCCAATATTTCAAGCACTATTACACATTTTTTTAAAAAAAAGATTTATTTATTTGTGCATACAGAACTGGGGTACAGGCCAGAGGCTCAGGGGTGGCGAGAGGCTTCACCAGAGACAGAGTGGGGAGCAGAACAGGCAGATCGACGAAGTACACTGCTGAGGGGAGCAGCGGGCGGGTCAGGAGAGGTCTGCCACGCCATGTGGTCACCTCCGGGGCAGGCGGGGATCTAACTCATGCGGAAGTAGCTTTAGTTTCTCAGGGCTGTGCTTTAACCCGCTGTGCCACCAGGGAGGGCCATATTACACATTTTTAAGTATTTCTGCCTTCAGGGTCTGAGTCTCAGATTGTATCAATATTGGTAATTAATTTAATAAAATATGAAAGTAGGTAAGTCAAATTAGTTACAAATATTTTCTACAGAGAAGGTATTTTAAAATCAGTCTATTTACCAAAAGTTAACCAATATTTTTAAACAATATTAACTGCTAGAAATCCTGATACCTTAAAACAGAACAGCATTAAATCTGTAAGGTGGTTGAAATTTTCAAGTGCCCTCTTTAGTTATTGACTGAATTCTTAGCTTTTTAGATAATTATAGTCTTATGTTCCTATTTGAGTTTGCAATGTTTTCAAAAATTCAAGAATTTTGCTGGCAACATAATTATTGATTGTGGCCACTTATCCTCAAGTCAAGGTATTATCAAATAAATTGTCTTTGGACAAAAATTATTCAAGCAATTTCAACAATGCAAGTCAAATCAGATGTGGACCTTACATTTCAAGTCACAAATGATAACTATTAACATGAAGGGCATGAGTAATGTTTAAGTAATATATAATCTTCCAAATACAAGACAGAAAATAGGTTTCAGAAACATGCAAAGTCAGAGACAAATCCCAGCTTTTTCTCTTACTTACCATACTACCTAATATAAGGATTAGCTGTGAGGATTAGGTGATACGATGTAAATAATAAGTAGTAAATATTACTATTATTTATTTTACTAAATAGCTCTTAAAAACAATAAGTATTTCTTAAATCCAAAGTATAAGAAAAGCAAATATGAAGGTACACCACTAAGTGATGTGAAATATCTTAAAGTAAAATTTTAATCTGATTTTTCTTTATTATAGATGGTGCTGGATTTGTACAGTTCTCAAAAGATTATTTCTATCTACAGTTTGTAATAGTTTTATCATTCTGCATTCTTTGTAAACATTCCAGCACAAACTCCAATTGTATTAAAGAATTTATCTGTAGAACATATGCTGTATTTACACTTTGAATAAAATCTTAATATAAACTAGTATCTTTCTTAATGTCAGTTTAACTATATCAAGACTGTTAAACATAAATAAATGCCATTCTTTAAGGATTTGCTCAAAATTTCTTAAGAGTGTCTATACACAGTTTCAATTTTGGAGAAATCCATTCTGTGCCAGGAAGAAGCTAATTTCTTCCAGCCAAAGAGTAAAAGTAGAATCAAACTCATGTTGGAAAACGGTCTCCTACCTCTCATCTCAATGAGTCTGAATGCCATCCTTGTTAAGCACAAGTCCCTTATTACATTTCCTGAGACAAGGATTTTATAAATTTTAGAAAATAAATACTGCACACAAACCTTGTAACTCTTTCAGAGGAGCTTGAGGCATCATTCTTAAATTATTCCAATGTTTCTCAGCAAAACTCATATTCATACTAATGAGAGAAAAAGCCTTAGTTCTGTCCTAAGGTACAGTGTAAGCCTAATAGCCCTTTTCAAGTATCTAAAAAAAAGAAAGCACTTTTTAAAAAATAAGAGAATACCCATCTCTCTCCCCCAATACTTCCTTACCTTCAGAGCTGTCTCACCTGCAGTCCAAGGGGGATGAAGATGGAGCTGTGATAATGCCCACCTGAGGTTGACAGACTTGCTATCATGGCATTTACCAATGGTCTTTTAGGCAGACCAAGATCTGTGTCCACTGAGACAAAACAGTGTTATTTTCCTCCCGTCCCCTGTCTATAAGACCACCTACCACACCGATAAACTTTCCTCTAGGATTGATATTTAATACTGGTTTGCAGAAACCAATTCCTATTCATAATATTCCCTTTCTTAAAAAAAAAAAAAGGCACTCTAACTCTCAAAGACCTCCCTCTGTCCCTACCTGATTTCAATTCTTCTCTAAATTATCTATTTTTTAATTATTTGTGACATACAGAGTTACAGTAGAGTGAGATAAAAATAACAATTACTAATATCCTGGACAGATTTTAAATTCAGAATTTTTGGTAATAAGAACACAGGCCCTTGTTCATTGATTTTTATTTTTATCGATTGACTTTCTCATAACATTGATGACTCAGACAAGAATAATACTTACGTAAACTTTTCATTTTTGAGATAAGCTTCAATAAGGTCATGTACAGCAAAAAAATTTACAAATAAAAAATTCAGGAGGAGGCAATGCTCCTCCGAAAGGAGTATGATGTACGGGAGCATCCTTCAGACCTCATAATATCAATGGAGAAAAATAAAGAACTGAAAGGTCTAAACAAGTAGCAGACATATGGATGATCAGAAATTTATCTTCATTCATATTATGATTCCTCCTAGAACATGAGTGGTTTAAGTTTGGTAAAAGACATGCTTTCAATAAAATAATACTGAAAAAAGTATTATTTATATTTGTTTTGGCTGCAAAGCAGAAAATTCTGTGTTCCATTTTCATATTTACTCATTTTATTCTGATACAAAACTTTTTAAATACAAACTGCTTGGAACATGAATAAAATATTTCCCAAGTGAACTCCCTGCCCCTTTCATTGTACAGTCTTTGTTCATTACTATCTCCTTTGTTAGCCTCTGCCACACACAGCAATGGGAAGCTATTACCCATGGCAGTCAGCTCATAGTCTTCACTTCCAGTGTGCATCCTGTTTCTCTGTCACAATTCTGATGAATTTAGAGTGACTGGCATAAAGCTCCAGTTTATCACTGATGTCCACCCATTTCACTTTTCCAGCATCATCTCCAGGTTCCAGGATAAGGTTATCCATTATCTCACCTGGTCACCAAAGAAAAAGCATCACCAATAAAAGAAATTCATTTATTCAGAGTAATTTATAGCTTTGTATTTTCAGTATCCTAAAATAATCTTAAATTATCATTCTATTAGATGAGCAAGTAAATTAAATACTAGAATATTCCAGAATGCCCAAAATTTAAGCAAGTTCCTAAATTTCAAGTAGAGGTACCACCGGGTGAAGAGAGCTTTTCTTCAAAGTGGAGATTTATCAAAGTACTAAAAATGGATCAGCCATATGACCCAGCAATTGCACTTCTGAGTACCTACCCCCCAAAATACAAACATACTAATAAGAAAGGTATCTGCAGCCCTACATTCATAGCAGCACTATTTACAATACTCAAGATTAGAGAAACAATCCAAAAACAGGCGAGTGGGTTGAGAAGATGTGGCATAGATGCACAATGGAATACTACTCAGCAACCAAAAAAGATAAACTCATCCCATTTGCAGCAACAGGGAATTGGAAGAGATAATCCTAAATGAAGTAAGTCAGAAGGTGAAAAATAAATATCACATAGTGTCACTAATATGTGGAATATAATGAAACCAAACTGAGAACCAGAAAAAAAAATCTTAAAAGTTAACCTTTGAGAAGATACAATGGAACAAAGAAAGTTTGTTCAACAAATGGTGGTGGGAAAAATGTGAAGCTACATGCAAACAAATGAAATTAGATCACTACCTTGCATCATGCACAAAAACCAACTCAAAATGCATTAAAGACCTAAACATAAGAACGGAAACCATAAAATACCTGGAAGCAAAGATGGGCCAAACACTACACTACATACACCTCAGTAACATCTTTAAAGATACAGCACCCAATGCAATGATAGTGAAGGAAAGGATAAACAGATGGGACTAAATCAAGTTAAAGAGCTTCTGTACAGCAAAAGAAACATTACAAAAAACAGACATCCCACTGATTGGGTAATAATTTTCTCACACATAATAATTTTCTCTTTATCCTTTAGCGATAAAGGATTGATCACAAAAATATACAAAGAACTGATGAAATTCAACAAAAATAAACAACCCCATCAAAAAAAAAA